GTGCGCCAGCATGCCCCGCTCCTTGACCGCTTGTGAAAGGACAGTGCTTCCCTTGCCTTCGGCTTTCTTGCTCCGGGAGGAGCAAGAACCTGTCTGAGAAGTGGGAGGCTTGTCCTCTTCCCGGGCCACCCTGAGGCATGGGAATTCTGACCTGTTTAGCCAGGGTGCAGCGGCCTAAGGCACTGATAGAGCGGAAAGGGTACAGGTTTGGAGTCAGGCAGACCTGGGCGCAGATCCCGGACAGTTTCTTGCTACCTTTCAGACCTTCGCACCTGAACGATAATGATTAATTAATACCTGGCTAGAAAGCTGTGAAAACTCACTGTTTGGGAAGTGCCACTAGCTCCGAGCCTGGCGCATCCTCTGTTTTTCCTGGGGAATTAGTAGGTGCTTTTGGTTTGGCTTGGGTAGTGTCTTGGGGCGCATGTAAGGTTTGGGGAGGACAGCAGGTCCTGTGTCTTGGGTGCTGGGCGGGAGGTGGGGTGGGGGCTGTTACAGTGGGATCTGAGTCTGCCAGGCTGCAAGGGGCCCCGAGCTGCTCCTCACACCCTGCCCCAAGCCCAGCTCCTCCAGCTTTCCTGTGTATTACGCTAGGTGGAGATTTTTTTTTCTTTTTGATGGTGGTGTTACTAGGGTTCCACCCAAGGCTTTCACAGTGAGCTACATCCCCCACCCTTTCTGATTTTTTTTCTTTTGAGACCGGGTCTCACTATGTCAGCAGTTGCTCAGGCTGGCCTTGAACTTGTGATCCTCCCGCCTCACTCTCTTGTCATTATTATCGTTGTTGTTATTATTATTTTTTTGTTCTGTGGTGCCAGGGATTGAAGCCAGGGCCTGGCTCACCTTCAGCACGGGGTCTGTCACTGTACCGCACCCACAGCCCTCCCCTGTGTTTTTATTTTATTTTTTTGTCTTTTTGAGACAGGGTCTATGCAGTTCAGGCTGGTCTCGAACTCGCTATGACCCTCCTGTCTCAGCCTCCCAAGTGCTGGGATTACAGGCATTACAGGCATGACGGGCGTGCACCACCACGGGCGGCTCTCCCTGGCTTTTTAGATCTGGGTTGCAAATATCACATCCTCTTGGCTTCTCCTCTGGAGTCTTCCTGGTGACTGTCCCGAAGCCATAACTACTGCCAGACTTGTGGCTTCTCCTGCCTGGGGGAAGTAGAGGACAATTGGCTCCTGGCTGTGGGCTTTGCTTTTCTTGTCACTGAAGCTGGCCGGGTGGCAGTTGGAGACTCGAGCTTGTGAGGGTGGCTTTACCTCGCCTGTCTTCCTGGCCCCCATGACCTTGCGTTGGCAGAGGTTAGCTCCCTTTAAAGCTCTGAAATAGGAGCTGAAACAGCTGCTCCCGGCACCCCTCCCCTCAGCCCTGGGGCCCAGGTAGAGGTGGGGGCAGGGCGGGGCGGGGCAGGGCTGGACCTTGCCGCTTGCTGGGAGCGCAGAGCCTCCGGCTCCTGTATTCTGATTCCAATGTGGCCTTGACCGCTTCTGAAAGGACAGTGCTTCTCTTGCCTTGGGCTTTCCTGTCTGGATGCTGGGGAGATTCTGATCACACCTATGAGGCTGCCCCCGGTAGGGACTGGATCTTTGGAAAATTTCCCGCCAGGATCCCAGGCTAAGGTCTGTGCCTACACCCTCTGGCGCTGGATATGGACAGCGTCCTGGAGAGGTAGCTGGCCGGGCTGGGCTGGGATCTCCGGGGAGGGAGCGGGCAGGCAGGCGGCCCCCAAGGGTGGGGACTCACTTCCTGCAGCCCAAACTGCTCGGGAACAATAGACTTCAGAGGAGTCACCGGGGCGGAAATGGGAGCTGCCGAGGCAGGGTGACCCTCCTGGGGGATGGGATTGCATATCCGGTGGCGTGTTGGGGCAGCGCGCAGGGCCCCGGGGTGGTCTCTCCGGTGGAACCCTCCTCCCAGGGGGGCTGTGGACTTGTAGTGAAACCTGGGCTCCGAGGGCCCGTTACGTGGCCAAGGTCTCTGCTTTGTGTCCTTCTAGCGAAGGTGTAGGGTTGTCTGCCAGCCTCTCCTCGTGCCAGGCTCAGCCATACCAGCTCCCTGCGGTCTCCGACTCCAAGCCCCTGAGATGCCTTCGTGAACCGCTCGGGCCAGGCGAAAAGGCCAGCGTTGTTTCTTCCTGGCCGTGCTCCCTCTTGGCACTGAGCCTGAGTAACGGCTGATGTGGAGGCGGTTGTTGGGCAGAGCTCTGGGTGGGGAGCCCAGGCCTGGGCGGCTGGGCCATGGGGGAGCGTTTTTTCAGCGGCCTGAGCAGGACAGGCAGGGGCCGGGACGCCTGGGAGCAGGGGGCTTACCTCACGGTCCTCTGTAAGGGGCCCCGATTCGTGAGAGCCCAGTAGCGCTGTGCTCGGGAAGTGGCAGTCGGTGTGGGCTTCTGCTTGAGTTCAGGTGGGGCCCTGAGAGAAGCCCCAGGAGCAGCCACGGAACCCCTGCAGGGACATGGCAGGTGCCTGATGGATTTCTTTTCTTTTTTTTTTTGTCTTTTTGACACAGGGTCTCGCTGTACAGTTCAGGCTGGCCTTGAGCTCACTTTGAAGCCTAGGCTGGTGTCGAACTCACAACGATCCTCCTGCCTCAGCCTCCCGAGTGCTGGGATTACCAGATTACAGGTGTGCCACCACGCCCGGCTGGATGGATTTCTCGAAGGGACTGACAGTGGCACTCTGTGAGCTTCATTTGCTCCCTTGCTAATTCTAGGTCAGATTTTTCTTTTTCAGTGTTGAGGATCCAACTCAGAGCTTTGTGCATGCTAGGGAGGTACTCTACCACTGAGCCACATGTTCAAGGAAGGCAGCTCTGTGGGACAGTTTTCGGTGTGGTTTTGTTTTGCTTTGCGACAAGGACTCACTTTATACTTCAGGCTGGCTTTGAATTCACTACATAGCTCAAGCTGGTCATGGTGATCCTCCTGCGTCAGCCTCCTGCGTGCTGAGATTACAGGCGTGCACCACCATGCCCAGCTGGTCAGATTTTTGAACAAAAAAGTCCATGGAGACTTTGAAAATGAAGCCAACATGGATTCACTGTACCAAGTCTATGGAGACAAAATCAGTTTGGATGGAGGAATATTCAGGTATTTCCTTTTTCTTTTTGTTATGGTTTCAAAGTCTCATGCGGTCAGAGGGAGATTTTTTGGAGGTGGCTGAGTCTAGAGCGTGTGATTGATTGGTAGTGCAGTTCTGGGATTAAGGGTGCTAGGGTTAAGGTGACTGCTGGATCAGGCCACTGATGGATCAGGCCACCTCCCTAATCCTGGTAGACAAGATACAATCTAAGGGACAAAAAGAGGCTTGTCGTGTCAACCCCGCCCCCCTTGCTGCTTTTGCTATTTTCCGCTGCCGTGAACTGTAGCCCCTCTGCCATGTGCCACCCTGCCTTGGAGCCAGCTGATGATAGGCTGAAACCTTACGCACTGAGCTAAATAAACCTTTCCTCCTTTAACTTTATTTTTTTTATTTTCTGGTACCGGGAATTGAACTCACTACCTTGCGCTTGCCAGGCAGGCGCTGTGCCACTGAGCTAAATCCCCAGCCCACCTCCTTTAAGTGTTGGGTGTTTTGTCTCAGCAACGAGACCGTGCTGAGGACTGAACCCGGGGCCTCACGGGTGCCAGGCAAGGGCTCCACCAGCTCTTTGGGCCTGATTTTCAGTCATGATTTCTTGGGAACAAGGGAAAGGTGGTTGGATGTTTAGCGGATAGAACAACCACCTGGGTGTTGCTACCGAGCTGGTGGCACCTGGGGAATTTCTGGTGACACCTTGGGGATCTCTGACTTGGCTTTCTGCCTGTGCCTGCCCTGGGTGGGGAGCACAGCACCCCAGAACTGCCGCAGCAGAGGCCCTGGAGCCCCTATAATCCAGTCTCCCGCCCAGTGCAGGGCTCCTCCAAAGCGCCCCTGACAAGCTCCACATCGGTCCACAAGTTCTTTGTGGTTTTACATAATGAAGTAACTTCAGACCAACTAGACTCAATCCGCTCCTGCTGAAAAGAGAGCCTGCCTTCTAGAAATGATAACGGGCAGGTTCTGACCCCTCATCCGCCTTCTGTTAAAGATGCTTGCCGTAGCTGGACATGATGCAGCACACCTGTAATCCCAGCACCCTGGGAGGCTGAGGCAGAAGGATCACCAAGCTCCAGCCCAGCCTGGGTAATTCAGAACCAGAATTCCACGTCACCGCAGCTGGCTTCAGTGCTGAGTGTGAGCAGATGGATGAACTAAAATAATTCTTCTGATTCTTAAAATCAATACAAATCATTGTAGAACATTGGGAAAAGAGAGAAATTCATGAAGAAGAAAACAAAGTTGTACACAGGAACACAGCTCGGGGACAAACCAGCGTGTGTGACCTCTTGTCAAGGAAAACCTTAAGCTCTGTGATGCTCTAGCCACACTGAGAGCCACCTCTGGCTTTCAAAGGTGGGGGCGTCGTGTGCTGTTAAGAATTGAGCTGTTGGAGGTAGCTCAGTAGAGCAGTTGCTTTGCACAGGCAGGGACTTGGGCTCGATCCCCAGCATTTCCAAAGAAGAAAAAAGAATTGAGCTTGTCATTCCATGGTTGTGTCCCCCCTACTCCCAACTGCACTGGGGATTGAATCTGGGGTCTGTCGCTGAGCTACATCCCTGCCCCTCGACGCAAGGCCAAACCCAGGTTTTATTCATTCACGAAGAAGGGAGTGGCTGGAGGACGAGTGACTGAGAACCATGGGAAGTGGGTGAACGCCATGAGCTGGGCTAGGTAGGAGGCCTGAGATCACCTCTGCAAATGCAGAGAGGAGGGTATGCGGAAAGAATATCTGCAAAACACAACTGAGATAGTGTCTAATGTTTTGGTGCTTCAGCTCTGATGTGTAATCTTTGAAGCCCGAGGAAGTCATAGCCTCTGTCCCAAGGCTCAATCCCAGCCGACAGCGTGGAGCATGGGCTCACACATCCCGCCTCATCCCGGCTCGGAGAAGCAATGCGGTGGGGGTTGTGGGGGTGGGGAAACACGCCTGTCATCTCCAAAGGTTACCAGCAGCACCTTGGCTAGACCGATACGCATTGCGTAAAGCCAATTGAAGGGATAGGGAAAGGTCCCAGCCAGCTCTGTCCATATCAATATATGGAAATAGGGTCAGGCTCAGCTGAAATGGAGCCAATTACTCCTCTTTCAAAGAGAGTCACCTGGGTGATCCTCCACAGGGTCTCACTGTGTAGTTCAGTAGTTCAGGCTGACCTTGAGCTCACTGTGTAGCCTAGGCTGGCTTTCAACTCATAGTGATCCTCCTGCTTCAGCCTCCCAAGAGCTGGGGTTATAGGCATGTGCCATTTTGTCCAGTGGTACGTAGGCCTCACCCTGAACCTGGGAGTTGGGGAGGAGGACCCCTGCCCAGAGCAGTAGCAGTGAGTACAGACTCCAGAGTGATACCCGATCAGCCATCGTGGGAGCTAGAGGGCAGGGTGCAGATTGGGGTAGAGTGCCTGCTGGCATGCGGAGGCCTTGGGTTCCACCCCTAGCATTAAAAAAAAGTAAGCCAGATCATATGTAGATTTAAGTTACCGAGGAGCTGCATTTAAAAATGTATTTATGCCGGGCAGGGTTGCACATGTGTGTTTGTAATCCCAGCACTCGGGAGGCTGAGCCAGGAGGATCACCTTGAGTAGGAGGCCAGCCTGGGCTACATAGCCAGACTGTCTCAAAAAAAAATTATTTATTTTGTGTTTTTTTGAGACAGGGTCTTGCTGTGTAGTTCAGGCTGGCCTCAAACTTGCAGCGATCCTCCCTGACTCCTAAGTGCTGGGATTATGGTTATGTGCCACCAGGCCCAGCATTAAAAATGTAAAAACAAGCCAGGCGTGGTGGCACATGCTCCCAGGTACTTGGGAGACTGAGGCAGGAAGATAGAAAGTTTGAGGCCAGCCTGGACAATTCAATGAGGCCATCTTAAAGTAACAAATAATGGGGCTGAGGATGTAGCTCAGTGGTGGGGTGTTGCTGGGTCCAGTCCCAAACACGCCCCCCGCCGGGGTAAAGGCAGCGGTAAAGTGCTTACTTAGCACGCACAAGGCCAGGGCTTCCCTCCCCAGCTACAGCAACGTTAAATGAATAAGTAGACCATCCGAAACACCAGCGCTCCGCGAGGACTGTGATCAGTGTGACCGTTCTGTATGCATATACGTATCAATAAAAACAAAAGCTGAAAAACAACTGGAAAAAAGCAAAAAAAAAAAACCGGGTAAAATGAATTGCAGTACTATATTTTACTTAACCTGCTGTAACCGTATGATTTTAGCACAGTTTATCAGCTTTCACAGACGGTGTGGGCAGTCTCCTGGGTACCGCACACCTAGCAGTGCATCTTGGTGTGGACAAGCAAGGCGGGGTGGGACGTGGGGCGGTGGCCTTCACGGTCAGCCTGCTGGGTTTGAGTCCTTCCTTCCCAGCTGTGTGACCGTGGGCGAGCGCCCAGCTGCTCCGTGTCTGCGCTTCCCCTGCTACAGAATGAGGATGGTGTCAGCGGAGCCAGTTCCACAGCTGATTGGAAGACGAAATGGGTGAATGTTTGTGAAATGCTCGGTTCTTTGCTTGGTACCTCACGTCAGTCACTTTCTCGTCACTGGGACCCAAGGCCTGGCACCCACATTTTAAGGGAGGAGAGGTTTATTCTGCCCA